CCCAATTAGGGTTTTTCATATGAAATGACGGTTAGGATTAAGTGTTCTATCTTAACCCATTAAGGACTTAATCCATTAAGGACTTAATCCATTAAGTCCAAACATACAATGAAATCGGGCTTGAGTCATCACTTCACTCCAATGGTCCAAAATGCGGGTCCCGATAAGTCCAGACCAATAATCCCAAAATTACGGTTTTCCAAACCCTATTTAGGGTTTCCAACCCAATCATAGCTCAATAGGCCCAATAGCTAGGTCTTTTGATCAATTAGGTTTTATTAGGCCCATTAGGGTTTCATTGGGCCCATTAGGGTTTCTTTGGGCCCACTTTGTCCAAGCATCCCCAAACGAGTCAAAACGCAAACGAGGCACACTGCCACCCAAACACGGCGGTTGGTGGCGGCAGGAAGTGGCAGCCACCACCTCACGGTGGTGGTTATGGATTTTTCTATTATTATTCCGGGCACCATTTACAATTTACAACTCAATCCAAATAAAACACACACACACACATACTAATAAAAACACACACACAGCCACCCTTGTGGTGGCCGGCGGTGGCACGTGGTGGTGGTGGCCTTCTCCGAATTTCGGGCAAACGAACACATACCCACGTGACCTACACTGAAACACACCCAAAGATACACACACGCGCCCGAAACAGTAACACCACTACCAACCTAGCGGGGCACGACGGTGGCAGTGGGCTGAGCTTGTAAACGGCAGCAGCGCTGGCAATCGGCGGCAGTCGTGACGATTGGCAGCAGCTTGTGGGGAAACAGCCGCATGGATGCGACGGCTACATCGAAACCCAACAGCAGCCGGTTCAACTGTCCCTCCCACGACCACACTATCAGTTCTAACTCTCGTCTTTTCCGGCGAAGAGAGTAGTGGCTGTGGCGCGTCGGCAGGAAGAAGGAAGAGAACTCGTCTTCGTCGTCGGCGGTGCAGCAACGGTGGCGACCCTTCGACTTCGACGGCGACAATGGTCTGTCGTGGTTTGCGTCCTCGAGTTTGCCGGTGACCGGAGCAGCAAAGGTTCACGCTATGGCGTGGAGATGGCGACTGCGAATGCATGAAGAAGATGGTGACGACTGGGAATAGTGAAGTAGGGTTAGGGTTTACCGGTGGTATTAGGCTTATATACCCGGATCCTTTAAGATCTATCCCATAATCACATAAATGACCCCTCCTTCCATTATTCTTTCCAAATAAAGTCCGAAATTTACCTTTTTAACCCAGCCTTCCGAAATCCTTTACAAATTAAGTCTAATACTTACAAAATAGCCCCTTAGCCTCCAAAATCTTTTCAAAATAAATACCAAAATTACTTTTTAACCCCCGTATAATCCAATTTATAACATTTGGCTCCCCAAAACCAAACACCCCACTAAATAATATGGATTTAGGGCGACTATTCGTTCATCAATTTTATCTATTTATTTATTTAATAAACAGGATGTTACAATGTTAAAATCCTGTCACTACTCAGCCCCCGTGGCCATGGAGGTTCACCTACAATGACTCCAAGACATGAGACATAGTCTCATGTTCGCAACGGGGTATTAGTCGATGCACGAAACCCTCGTTAGGGAAGTTGCTTTCCAAAAACAAAAAACAAAAAAAAAAACTTTCTTTTAGAACATTTTAAAAACATTTCATAAATTTTGTATACCAGTTTAATACATTTTATAACATTTTAAAATACTTTTGTTGAATTACAAGTTTAGAACGTTGTATTAAAAAAATTAAAATTTTTATAAAATTCTAATTAAAAGTATAAAAAAGTTGTAATAATTTTAAAATTTACATATATAGATGATCTTATAATATATATATATATATATATATTTGTTTTTTTATTTGCAAAGTAATATTTTCTTTTTATTTTTTACATACTATTTACTTTAAAAATATTGCATATGCTTTAAAAACATATATCTATATATATATAATATATATATATATATTATATATATATATATATATATAAAAGATGCTATATAAAATCTTTCACAAAAATAAAAATATATTTATTAACTTAAAAGAAAATTTTAGAATTGATAAATGATTAATTAATATTTATGATAGTAAGTTTTTTGCGAAAATTAAATTAGTAGAAAATTGATTTATCAAATCAAAAGGCTATAAATAGGATAAATAATAAATCATTATGGATGCTTAAAAATAACACTTAGAAAAATAATACAAACAAATATGAAAAATACAATCTCTATTAAAAGTGGCGAAATTGACTTATGAGGGTAATTAACTTTCCGTTTTGTTTACATTTAGACAATTTTTTTTTAATACATTTGACCATTTAACTTATTTAATGTGTTTACATGTTATTATTGTCAAATGAGATAGCCGGTAACAATGTTAATATGTAAACATATTTAATAAGTTAAATGCTCAAATGTGCATTAAAAAGTTATCTAAATATGAACAAAAACCAAAAAATTATTACTCTCATAAGTCATTTTCCCAAAATCTAATTACATAATCAATTTTTTTTCGACACAATGTATGAATATTAGATTGCATATTGTCCAAAAAAATGGCAAGAAATGTACAAATTAAATATTATGATGCGTATAAGATGTTAATTTGATCATTATACATTTATTGATACTACCAAAGTACCAATCACTATTTTATCTTTATAAAACATGGAAATTTTCAAAGTTAACTGTCAAACCAGAAATATATCAAAATCACTGATTTGACTTTCCTTTTTTGTTATTCAATGGTTTAAGTTTTTAGGAGAAACCTAATCTCTGTTCCTGTTATTTACATATTAATTCAATTTTATGATGATAAGATAATCCTCAAAGGTATAATTCCACTCTTTTGAGTTAACATACAAATGTGATGATTTTTTTTTGTTTTCAGTTTCTTTATATAATGGAGGCATAAGGGCACAATTTTCGAATCTTAAATATAATCAAAATGTACAAACGGTTATATGTTCGCGTTCTCCTCCCTAATTCATTCGTTTTGATATACCATATGTACAAAACAAATTAAAGATAAATGAGAAATTATATGTTAAAACGAGGTGTTTGGGAGAAATTAACAAGTGGGTTAATAGTGTTTTTTGTTTTATCCTACATGGGTTGAAGGGAAAAGAAAATGACTTATAACTATAAAGGTTTCTTAGTTTTGTAAACTTAGGCACAAAGACTCTTTTACTTTTGATTAAGAAAAACTCTTCTCAATAGAAAAAAAAGGAGCCAAAGCAATGGTAACAAATTTTATTGTCACTTAAGATAACCGATGATAATGGTAACACTTGAATATATTTAACAAATTTGATTACCAAATCTATACAAAAGGAAAAAAAACAAACGTAAAAGTAATTATTCTAATAAGTTAATTTCCCCACTATTTATGGCTCACTTTTATCTAATTATTTTTCCACCCAAAAGCTATTGAATCCTTCAAAAATCTTTAAGCTCGAGATATTAGAAAAGGTATACCCAGTCAACTTTTTTCCTAATGGCAAACATTTGAATCAGATAAATATAAGGTACACCCCATGCCATTGTTTCATCTTTTTTGTTCATGGGGTTTTTCGTTTACATGTCGATTTTCCAAAGAACATACAACAATGTATAGCCTCGTGCGATTGCAAATTAATAATATAGTGGCACTGAAGAAATAGTAATATTTTGCATGTTTCAAGCAAAAAGAAGTTGTAGAAATATTCGATAGAGGCAAAACTCTGGTCACACTTACCAAAGCTCGGCAAAAATTCTTCTACAGCTACACATGTAACTTCATATAGCCATTGATATCCATGTTACAATCAATACAAATAAATCAAATAACTCAGTGAGGCAATACATCAAACAGCTTATCCGCATAACAGAGCCCATCTTCCATTATCTTTCTCATAAATCCTATGTATTAATAGATTCTGGCATATTCTGGCCCCAGTATCATATTGACATGCCAGGATTTGCATTCAACAGTACCATCTTGTGGGACCCAAAAAGATGGCAAAACACACCTCACCTTCATTTCGTCAATTGGACACCATCAAAGAAGGATTCAAAGTATGGGTCTTATATTATCTTCTTACATCAAGATTCATTTGAAAGTTTGTATAGAAAACTTAAAATTGTTTGTTACAAGAGACTAAATTTATAAAACAATCGGTAGAAGATGAGAGCCAAATGGAAGGTAACCGATTTGGATGATTTAAAATCTTGAATTACCCCAATCTTCATCCCACTCTGCAGATGTCTCTGGAACTCCAGGTTTCCAGCCTTCATCTACATGGCCTTAAATCATACATTTCGTTGAGTTACTTTACATTTAAGTAGTCAAAGATCAACAATAAAAACCGTTTCCCGTTTGCTTTTTTTTTTCAAAAGTATAGAATGGCTTGTAACAAAAAGAGAAAGAAAGAAAATGAGAAACCATGCACTTGAATTTTAAGTTTCTATAAAAGATGTGAGATGATGTTTTTTTGCAATGGTAAACGGTTTTTATTACAAGCCATGTACATGTTTTTTGCAATGAGCTTTTCAATATAAAATTTATGATTAATGTTCTTATAGGAGGTTAAAGAGAACTCTTTTGAAGGTTCAATACCACGTTCATTTCCTAGACTAGTCTCTTTGCAGGAATTGTAAGCCTTTATTCTCCAAATAATATATAATTCTACATTACAAGTTGGTATTTTGATCTTTTAATTTGCATACACTAAAAATCTAAAATCAAACTGCTCTGGTTCTATAATGTTACAGGAGGATACACAGTTACTTTTACATTAAACAACTGAAGACTAAATAAATATAAAACGCCTTATGAGGCTTACAAAGATGAAGAAAAACTGACCACTAGTAGATAACTTCTACCACTAAAGTAACTACACTTAAAGTAACTACACTTAGGAAAGATAAAAGCGATAGACATTTAATAGAAAAAGGATATAAACATAAATTGACCAAGCCAATCCTGCACAGGGCACGTGTACATGAGTATGCTTTAGGTGTTGTACTTTAACATTCACATCGTATTTTCAATGCAGCTTCCTTCATTTCTAACAGCGCATCTTCGAAACATTTTGCTAATTTTTCTGGGTAAGGAATGATGTCTTTAGCAACAAGAATTTGCATGTCTGCCTTTCCTGCATAACTCACCATATGCATAGTAATTGCCTGGATATATAAAAAAATAAATAAATCACCATCATTAAATTGAATATTTATACCATATATTCATTATTAAAATACTAACAATTTAGAAATTATTACATGTGGTAAGCTTGAAGACGTGGTTCTGATGTAGGTAACCGGGACGCCTGCAATCATAAACTCTTCTCTAGGGCCAATCACATTTGAAATTGTGAAGCTAGTGTTACAAGCTATCCTGTAATTAATCGAACTTACAAACTGAAAACTAAAATTATTAGCGTGAACATAATGCAAGATTAAGTTATTAAGTTATTTGATAATTTTATTTCACCTTTGGTCCCAAGCATTTCATAATAAAGCAACCGATTTTGTATGATAGAAAAGCTTCTAAAGAGAACTTCTTCCTGTCTATCATCATCTTGGCTCTCTTCAAATATTGCAAAGGATCAGACCCATTTGTATGGTAATAAATTGGTAAGAGCATCAGAGCAAATTTGTTTCCCCACCTTGATTTTGAACCACTTTTCATTAATTCAGTGAATTCCTATCAAATTGTCATAATATTCATAATTTATTATTTTAAACACGAACTAGGTTTTGTTTATGTTCATTCGTTTAAGTTAACCGAACAAACGAACTAACACAAACAGATAAATGAATAAATTTTTTTGTTTAAGTTAGTTTGTTTAAGAAAATTACATTGCATGTGTTCATTAATGTGATAAACGAACATAAACAATTATCAACTAACGAACATGTAAACATAACTGAACAAAAATATTCAAATAAAAACCGTAAAACTTGACCGCTGATATGTCTGATTGTATTTAACAGTGCCACTTTGATATTTTTACAAAATCTAGAAGTTGTAAAACGTGGCACTTTGATAATTTTACAAAATCTAGAAGTTGTAAAACCTAAACTATTCTTAGAAGCTTAACTTTCACTATCACCAATTTTATAATATATATATATATATATATATATATATATATATATATATATATATATATAAAATGTAATATAGCAATATAAAATAAACAAAAAAACGTAATGAATGAACGAGAACATTGGTTGTGGTTATTTGTTTGACTTAATGAAAGAAACTAAGAATTGGACCTTTAATTTGATTTTTTTCTTACATGTATACCATTCCATAACCCAACTATAATAGTATAGAGACTTTCATCTTAGTGTAACATAACATTTGTTTTCAATGTGATGAAAGTGAATTGAGAATAAATATTAGGAAGTATATAACCTGGAGTCCTTGTGATGGCCTCAGATTAACCATGGCGGCACCGGTGATTCGAAGTCCTTCTTTAATAGCTACAAGAGATGGAAATTTTATTATGGAATATTCATATAAATTATAAAATAGAAAGGCTATAATGGAATGTTTATTTACGTTTTGGTGAGTGATCATCCAAATATCTTGATAGCCCCGATGATATTACACCAAAAAGGACGTCGTTGATCGTCTGCAATAAGGAACACAGAATTTGTACAAAAGTTAATCAAATTTATAAAAGAAAATCATGATAACTGAGTTTTAGGAAAGTAAAAAAAAAAAAAAAAAAAAAACAAAAAAAAAAACAAAACCAAAACCAAAACAAAGTTACAAATTTTTGTGTTGACAATTTTGGAGAAGTATTTTTTGATTAATTTATGTGTTTTTTCATCGTGATATGAAATATTGGTCTATATAATGTCCTAACATTATGTTACTATATATAGACATTGCATTATTGCTATTCGTCCTCACATGGGTTACCGTTTGAACTTTTTTACAAATTATATTAAGGGTTGGTTCGTAATAACAGTGGTTCGTTAGTCGTCCAATATTGTACGTTGTAACTATTGCTAATTAACCATGTTCAATAAATATGTAAATTATTTTTTAAGGTAATAAATAAGTATATATTACTACAAAGTTATAATAATAATAATAATAATAATAATAATAATAGAAGGGTAGTTAAAATATACTATTTTTTCTCTTAGATTTTTGTGTTTATGTATTTCAGACCCATCCGAAAGGGTAGACAATAGAGGCTATCGTTCAAGACTCATCTTTTAAATGAGCCAAAAAATTTTATAAGCTTTATTGATATATTAGACAATATCGATCTTGAAGATATTATTAATAATTTTGTATCTCAAAAAGCTAGAATAAGTATTTTTCTTTAAATATATGAATTTTTGTAATCGAAAATATTATATTTAGAAGCTAGTATGAATAATTTTATTTCAATTATTGAGTTATTATAAAAAAGTTAATGAAATTTATATATTTTAAGAGTTTTTTTCGTCTGTCGTTTTGAACCCAAAATATGTTTAGAACGGCCATGATGTATTTATTTATATTTAATCTCTAAATAATATCTAAAATATGTGTGTTATATAGTATTTATAAATTAAAAATAAAAATACAATTAATAAAAAGTAATAGGAATATTAATAATAAAAAATAATCATTACTTAATTATTACAAGTATTATGGTGTCTATTTAGTAAAATATTTTGTTTATTTAGCCAACCTCATAAAAAAATAATATATATTAAAATAAAGAGATGATGTTTCTTTTTGACGTTTTATTTCCTTACATTTTTTTAACGTTTTGTTCAAATGATTTTTTCTATTTTTTACTTTTTGTTTGAATATATTTTTATAATACTTTTTTTTACGTTTTGTTTGTCTATACTTAATACAAGATTATGTTATGTCCTTTTATAATCTGGTTTTTTTAAAACTCAAACTTATTCCAACGAAATGAATAATTATTAAAATCTTTAAAAAATCGGATAAAGACTTTCGAAAAAATAGTTTTTCATCGGATAAATATCTTGATTTTTTAAAAGTGGTTCTCGTGTGTGCACATGTATAACTCAAAAACCAATAAAATGTCAAAAAAAAAACACCATTAAGTAACGTATTTGAACAAAAAGTCAATATAAAATAAATATAATATTTAAAAATATAAAGATAAGCAAAACGTTAAAAAACAACATTGTATTTGAAAAAAAGCGTAAAAAACAAATACTAATAATAAGACTATATATATATATATATATATATATATATATATATATATATATTAAATTTTAGATTCTTTCTGAAATCTGAAATATCAATCTGAAATATATTTTTAATAGAAAAAATATTTTGATTTGACATAAAATAGTATGAAATTCCAAAAAAAAAGGTTATTTTTTTAGTAAATAACTTTAAATTATTATTTTTTTTAAATTGTACATTAAAATAGTTAGTTTTATATGACAAAATTGCAAAATTGGTTCCTATGGTATACATTTTTTTGGATTTTAGTCCAAACCATGACTTTTTTGGATTGGTGGTCATTTTGAGCTAGTTTCGTTGCGTTTTGGTCCTCTGAATAGTGAAATGAGTGTAATACACTTGGGTATTTTTTTTTCATTTCTTTTTTAAATCTAACACTAATTTATTCAATTTAATAATTAAAAAAATAAAAAGGGTCTCTCTCTTTCTCTCTCTGTCTCATAAAAAACCCATATTTATTAACCCTAGATCTGATTTCCCTTTCCTTTCTCCATCTCCACTGAGTTCTGCTTATTCGTCGATTCTCCAGCTTCGACGAGTCTGAGTCGCCGATAATCGATGAATTCAACAAACTATAATTCACATCATCTTCTGGAAACAGATGGTCCTCCTCTGATTTCTCATTCTCTTTTCTCCATCTGATTTCTCCTTCTCTTTTCTCCATCTCTACTATCCACTGAGTTCTGCTCCTCCTCATCATCCACCATCGTCATTGCCACACGGTCCTACTTTTGGAAACACAAATTTGTATTGGAAAGAAAATGACATGGGGAATTTGTTTTGGGTGTTCTTTTATTCATCTGTGACTGATTTGCAGGACGAATAATATGGGTATGTAAGAGAAGAAGGAGGTCGATGGAAGAAGTTCAAAAGCCACCTTCATCCGCATCTCTTCTTCCCATCGTCGGAAACCACCTCTTCCCCAATCTCCCTTCACTGCAGGGCTGCTACAACACCACCACGGTATATCATCGACACTATCCTCCTTTCTCCTTCTCGATTTCTCTTTTTCTCTATCATCATCCAATATCTCGGTTTGAATTCTGGTTTGGTTTATATGTTTGATTTGTGGATTTGATTTATGGGTTTGAATGGGTTTTGATCTATAGGTTTGTGTTTTTGATTTCATGTGGTAGAGTTTGTTGAAGTCTTGTCTAGCGGATGAAGGAGAGAGAGTTTCAGATCTGGTGAACTGATGAAGGTGAAAACTGAATGAAAATAGTGAAGATGAATTTTTTTCTTGAACATAAGCCCCATTTGGATTGTATATTTGATCTAATATGAAGATTTTCTTGGGAAGATCAATTGATGGAGAGAGAGGGTGGGCCTCATATTTTTAATTAATAAAACATTAAATTAAATAGAAAAAAAAGAAAAATATATCAGAAAGGCATTACAGTCATTTCACTATTCAGAGAGACCAAAAAGCTTAAAATGACAATCAATCCAAAAAAATCGTGGTTTGAACTAAAACCCAAAAAAATACATACCACAGCAACCATTTTTACAATTTTTTCTTTTTATAAATATCCATTTGTTTAATATTATGTCTACCATTAAACTAAGCAACCTCACACCCATAAGCACACATAAGTTTGAGAATGTAGTTGCTTAAGGGTGAATGGAGTCGACATAGCAGGGTAGGGTAGATGGCCGACAGTATTCGTGGGCACGAATCTGAACAACAGAGGACATCTCTTATTGAAGGTTATTACGGGTTAACTAAGCCGTGAAATAATCTCTCTCTCTCTCTTATTTAAAAAAATCATATACTCATATAAATAATCCTTTATAATATTTCAAAACCACACATCTTCTTTCATCCCATTCCAATTCTTTTAATTTTCACAATAATTCAATTTAAATTCAATTTCATTTGAAATGGATGTTATTCCTAGCCAGTCGAAAGATGTATATAATGGTTTATACAGGAAGAAGTGGAGTCCGCATCAAATTGCTTCTAAATAGAAAGACATGTGGGAAAAAGTTAAAAAGTTTAATGTTATTTCACCTACAAGATGAATGTCCGGGAGTTCGTAGTTTCCGATAAATGCCCGGGAGTTCGTAGTATAACATGAAAAATTTTCGATACGAGGCGATGTGAAATATTTTTTAAAATCACTCTAGATTTAAAAAAAAAACAATAATTGTTGTTGGATTTAATTTGTTGTTTTGTCTTTTAATTTACCGTGTGTTTTCTTTTCATTTTATTGTTCTTTTTGGATTTAATTTACATTTTATTGTAGTATTATTTTTAATTAAATGCTACTTTTATTTTTATTTTAATACTTTTTTTTAGTTTTAAATTAGTAAAACTTTAATCTAAAATATAAAAAGTAAAATAAAATGTGAGTGGTTGGGAAGGATAGAAATATGAGTTTGTATGTGTTATTAGATGTGAGGTGGACAAAAGAAAAGGGAGAAAATGTGACAACAAAGTGAGTTGGAAGGTGTTGGAACAGTGGATATCCTCCACCCTAATATGTATATAGAAGGTTTTCGATATGTAACTATAAGTTTGAGATTAACTACTTTAATGAAATATGAAACTTACTGTGCTTACGAAGGCGTTCTTAACCATTTTCATATCATCAAGGCTAAACCTCGCGGTGGCCAGTTTCCTCGGCCACAGCTCCACTCCTGCTCCGCCTCTCACCACCGTCTTCTTGTCCCGAACCCACATAGACCTCAAAAAAAACTCAAACGTATAAATCAACGTAAACCATATCATTTTCAGCAACTTCCAGAATCTTTTTCCGGCACTCTCTCTCCGGTCGCTTCTAGAAGATGGAGGTAGTTCGATCGTCGGCATCTTATCGGCGTCGCTGACTTTTCTACACATAGTCAACATCAAAGACAGGAGAGACACTCCGTCACCGAGCGAGTGATGGAGACGCAGCACGACGCACTTGTGCGCCGGCAAGATATGTACCTCCCACAGAGGCTTATCGGTGCTGAGCGGACATGAGACTGTTAGGTCGGCGATGTAGTCGTTGACTGCCGCCTCGTCGTCATCGTTGCTGCCGTCAACGGCGTCAGGGAGAAAGATGATATGCCGGTCGATGTCGAGTTCGACTTTTTTCCAGCGTTCACGGCCATGATTATCTTTGACCAAAAGGCTGGTGAATCTTGGGTGGTTTATAATGAGAGAATCAGAGATGACAGATCGTACAAGTTGTATTCCGACAGGACGATCTAGTCCGAGAACACAGTTGATGATCTGATCCATTGCCGGCTGCACCAACACGCGGCCAGCGGGTGTTAGTGGTTCGTCTACATGAATATTCATTCTTAGGGACAGATTCAGGCGTTGGGTCGTGTTGGTGGTTTAGACACAGGGATTTTTCTTGCGTCAATTTACACCTTATAAATAATAGCTTGTGTAGCTAGGTTGTCTACGTAATAAGATATTTTTAGTTATGTGTATTTTACACTCCCTCGAATATTGACTTTTTTTTTTTTTTTGCCAAAAATAGACATGCATGATCTTCCTTACGTATCTCAAGAGTGATAAAAAACTGAGGAAGTATACACATGAGTTGTACCAAAGTCTAGAGAACAATTACCAACACACTCATTTTTGTCAAACTAAACAAACAACCAATCATGATATGCCAGATATTTCCATTCCCAACCAGAAAGAAGCTCCACCATATCTATGGTGGCGGTGGTGGTGCTGGTTCAAGGCCTACGCGGTGGTGGTCCTAATTTTTGAATGTTTAATAAAATGAAAAAAAAAACAGTTTATTTTGTTTAACAGAATTAATGGACTATTTCTAAGTAACTTGATTTTTTCTATGATTTATTTGTAAATCATTTTTTTTTAAATGGAATAAAATTTTGTAACGTAACACACTGTTTATGTAAAATTTTAATTAAACTTTAGGTTTTATTTTAAAGCCAACTAGAAAATAAACAAGGTAGCCGAAGTGATGATTCACCTTGCTTTAATAAGAAACAAACAAACAAATAAATAATACCCGTAGATTTCATAATTTATAAACAAAAATATTTTGTTTAAAAGGGAAAAAAATGCTATAATTTCCATAAGATACAAAAAAAAAAAAAAAAAAAAAAAAAAAAAATCATTGTCTCATAAGTCTTAAGGGTGTTGGGAATGCTTATTTAAAAGAATCTATGTTTTAGCTTATTTGATATGAAAACAAAATTTTATAAAAATAATGTTTAGATTAATTTATTTAATGCCAAAACGCCAAAACTTAATAAGACGATAAATTGTTTGTGTTTGACGAATTCCATTTATATGTATAATGATGAAGTATGACTTATCTAAAGTTTTTGTAATAGTGACAATAAATAAATAAAGGAGAATTTCGTATAAAATATCATATTTGTCCAACCTAATTTCTAAATATCATATTTATCATTCGTAAGTTTTTAAAATATCATATTTGCCCTATTCTATTTTTTAAATAGTTTTTTATATTTTAAAATCGTTATTAGGTTTAAAATATTTTTAATTATAAAAATAAATAAAATGACCATATTAGCCCTATTATAATTAAATTGACCATTCTCCCTTCGAATTCAACTGAAAGTCCACATTTCTAATTCTTCTACATCTCCGACTGCCATTCAATTTCTTAAACGGGGTATACCGATTCATCTTAATTTTTCATCATTTTCCACACAAAAATTGCTCAAGATTATTTCATTGATTTAGTAGTATTGATTGAAATTTAGTTGAAAAAAGAGTGATTATTGTTGTTCTTCATTTTCTGTGAGCAAAAAAACAACAATACGTAGGTCAAAATCTTTTATTAGTATTTTATAATGTTTTAAAATCCTAAAACTGGAACAAATATTTTTTTTTAATGGATGAAGGAGTCCTGTAAGTATCTCACACATTTAGAGGAAATTTTTTATAGTTTTAAACTAATTAATTTTCTTGAATGGGATGAATCGCAGGTGTATGTAGCATTTGACCCACATCGCAGAAACATCATATGTGAAGCTTTTGGATGCTTTTACTTCAAATATAAAAGCTTTACTACATAATATATGTGTATTTTTATATTTCAAATTCTATAACATAATAAAAGGTTGGCTTTTTAATTCTAAAAATTGCACAGTCAAAATTTCCCTTTACTATGGAAGAGCTAGGCAATATTATTGAATGTTGCAAAGCAAAGGATTGCATTTGAAGTATTTCTTCTTTATCTTGTCGCATGTATAACTTATTGTATTTGACAAGTTTGTTTTTTATCCTTTCATAGATTTGTGAACATCTAGTAGACGATGATGAACTGCATAATAGTGAAGGGTAATATGGTCAAACTGTTTATTGATAAGTTATAATGATTTTAGAATATAAAAAAGATTCTGAAATGTTTTAAAAATAAATAAAAAATAGATTTGGGTAAATACGATATTTTAAAATTTAAGAAGGGTAAATATGATATTTAGATTTTAGGTTGGGCAAATACGATATTTTGAAGCTTAATAAGGGTATATAGGAAATTCTCCCTAAATAAAAAAGGAATTAATTTATACAAAACTAAGTCAATAAATTATTTTATTATTCTTTTATTCAAACACTTAAAATAGTCTATTATTGGTGTTAAACCGTCACAAGTCAATACATACTTCACCTAAGAAATCTCAAACACCCCTTTAATTGTATCAAATAAACTAATATAAGACCAATGACTATATGTAACATCTTAAAAATCAAAGTAAATTTAAACTTTTCAAAACAACTCATTCACTAAAAAAGTGTTTACAAAACCATTATTTCCAAAAGCATTATTTAAAATCAGAGTCTCCCAAGACCAACGACATAAAAATCAGGATGTGTACGGTCACACCTTCGTCTTGCCATGGTCCTCTGAAATACCTGAAACATTAAACTGAAACTGTAAGCACGAAGCTTAGTGAGTTCCCCCAAAGTACCACCATACAATACACATAACAACAACAACATCATGCATATAGATCCTTCAGCCTAACTGGACCGCCTCGTAGGCCTATAAACTATCTGAACCGCTAACAGAACCTTCATCATGACTGGACCGCCTCACCGGCCTTCAGCCTATTTGGACTGTTCTCCAGGTCTTCGACCTGACTTGTCCCCCTCACGGGCCTTGAGTCTATGTGGGCCGCCCTGGGTCTCTTGGCCTTCAGTCTCCACTGGTCCGCCTCAACCCAAACACACATAACATGTCGACATATACATAATAGATAAACATATAACCAGTCAACAAATAGGAAGCAGATCTAACATATCTCTAATCATAACAACATCCTATATACCAGGATACCGATCTAACAGATCACTACATCATAGCAAAATCCTATATACCATGATACAGATCTAACAGACCACTACAACATACTACCATATCACAGGATATCCAATCCAATGGGTTGGCTTTGGTGCCTTCGACCCATAAGTATAGTGAGGAAAACTCACTTTACAGTCTGAACAACAGCTGATGAGGTCCCGACTCTGAGTATCAGCTCTAACTGCCACCTGTCCAACAAAATAACCAATACTCAACCACAATCCAAAATACCCAGAATACCCTTAAGTCAAACTTGGTCAAAGTCCATAAGTCAACTGAGTTAACCCAACCGAGTGGACCCAGTGAGTGTACGCGGGGCGCACTCGCGTTAACTGGAAACAAGGTGGCTGACTGAGTACGCTCAGCGTACACGTAGGTACGCATAGCGTACCCACAATATTTTCTCTTTTCATATTAAGAGCTTAATACTTCGACTTAATACGTCCAATTGCAGATCCATGGCCAAAATATCAAAAAGAGTCATAAAGTTTCCAACTTTATGACCTTGCATGTCCAATAAGTGACCAAATCTCAACATCTTAATGCATTAAGACCCTCAATAACATGCATGGAGCAAAATTAACCATCCAACCCACATTTTTATGACTTAAGACCCTTCCTAAGGTCTGAAAGGACAGCTCATTGAGTTAAGAACATGCTATGTTCATGAATCACCACATATGGGACAAAAAGAACCAAAAATCAAACCCAACACAAGATCTAAATGAAACTTCACCAAGTCTAGAACTTTATACCTCCAACTGATGTCAAAAGATGGTGAGATTCTGGATCTAAAGAGCTTCACTCGTCTAAGATGGTCTTCACTCCTTTCCTTCTTCTTCAAAGGCACAAAACATACACACTCAAGCTTAGAAATGCTTGACAAGATGGATTAGGGTTGAAAAAATATTCTAAGACGATGGAGGGTGATGAAGTGGGAGGAAATGAGGCCATAATAGGGTTTAAATACGAGCCAAAACCTAAAAATTAGGGTTTGCATGCTTCACACGTACACCTTGCGTATAAGATATACACTCAGCGTACTAGGGCGCGCCCTAGTACGCTCATCGTACACACGTACGCACCACGTACTCCCCCAAGCCCAAAATTACGAAAATGCCACTAGGGCCCTTTTTGCACTCTTTTTTTTACTTAGGGACCAAAATGAATTATAATTCAATTATAGGGACAAAATTAAAAGTACCTCATCATCGAGATGTTATAGTATAACGCCGACGCACTGCGTGGTAAGTGTCACATGGCATATCAGTGGTGAGGTAACACCACACCGTGTGGTGTTTTTTGTGCGGTAACCACCCCCAAGAGAGATGAACACATTGTGCCTCTTTCTCTTTTCTCTTCCACCTTCAACGTGTAATTTTGTTATAATTTATTTAACACTTTATAAATACTAACCTTTTAACCTTCAATTTTACACAAACTTCTATCACCATTCAATCCTTCAATTATTTTTACATAAAAATGGATTCCAACAATTCTCTCATCAACTTCACCCCAAGATACAATCGAAAAAAATAGCGTGCTACTAGATCAACAATACCTAGTAGAAACGTTTTTGCTTTAAATTTGCCTATGCCACCTTATCGACCGCAAATAGTAACCCTTATTTATTCACCCTATTTTCATTTTCAAAATATGAAAAAATTTTATCATATGCCAACCCTTACCCCAAACATATTCAACAATTTCTCGGATCTTCCCCAAATATGTTCCGGAAATCCAACCCCTGTCCGATCCGGAAGTCGAGTTCGTTTCGGAAACCCAATTGTCAGCTAAAGACTGTTGGATTAGGTGTCTAAGCACATAACTATAATTGGTATGTACTTGACCCGAGAGTAGCATTGTTCATTTCGGGTTGCCTTCACTAAAGTAATTTGACAGGATGGATATTTGAGAAAGAGGTTATTTGTGATTTATTAATATATTATAAAAATAATATATTAACTGAGAAATCATATTATTTAATTAGTATTGATCAAGAATTAATTTAGAATTAATTC